GGGTTTTTTTTTTTTTTTTTTTTTGTGGTACCGGGGATCAAACTTGGGTCCTTGTAGATGCATAGGTTTTAACGGAAAGTGTAACGCTTCTGCTTCAGGTCTTGGATAGTCTTGTTTGTTTGTTTCTTACTGTGTTCCCATTTTTTTTTCCAGCCCTGGAGAGGGGTCTTTTGAAAACACTGCAGAAACTGGATGAGTATTTGAATTCTCCCTTACCGGATGAAATTGATGAGAACAGCATGGAGGACATTAAATTTTCTACACGTAAATTTCTGGATGGCAATGAAATGACATTAGCTGATTGCAACCTGCTGCCCAAACTGCACATTGTCAAGGTAGGTCTTTCAAAGGTGGTGTCAGCTGCTCTTAGACATAATGTTATGTTTGCTGAGGTAGTATTCCCTGTGTGCTTAAAACTTCTCTGATCTTCTGTTAGGAACTCCCAATTAGTGTAACATAATGCTCATTAGGCATAGTTGAAACACCCTAGAGTGAATTAATGAAAAATTATGTCTTAAAATTGAGGCATATGAGAAAGAGCCAGGCGTGGTGGTGCACACCTGTAGTTGCAAGACTTGGCAGGCTGAGGCAGGAGGATTGCCTTCAGTTTGAAACCAGCCTGGGTTACATAGTGAGACTGTCTCAAAAAGAAAAAGGAGAATGTTATTTTACTTTTTCTGTAATTGAATAAAAACTCAGATATAATAGATAATTCTGGAGTTTGCTACTCTGAATTTTATAGTCATTCTGTAATTACCTGGCCTTTTCTATTTAAGACAAAAACATTGAGTATTTATTATGGAGACAGTTTTGGGGGGGACAGGGGGCGGCACCAGGGCTTGAACTCAGGACGTTGTACTTGCAAGGCAGCTGTAATGCCACTGAGCTAAAATCCTCAGCCCCATGAGACACTGTTCTAAATAGGATAGTAATAAGCACTAGTTGTTCAGTAAAGATCTAAGGGAAGAAAAACAGAGGTGTAAAGTAGTGTGTGTCTTACATGCATTTATACAGTGAATACACTGTCTCTCTGTCTCTGGGTGTCTGAATCAGACCTATGTAGTCACTCACATTTTTGATTTGTGGTTCTAATAATTATTTAGAAGTCTAATTAGTTTTTAGAAGCAGTTAGCAAAGATTCACTGAATCACACTTCTAGTTTATGAGACATGGAAAATAAATGGTAACTTTTGATCTTTGTATTTCAGGTGGTGGCCAAGAAATACCGAAACTTCGATATTCCAAAGGGAATGACTGGCATCTGGAGATACTTAACTAATGCTTATAGTAGGGATGAGTTCACCAATACCTGTCCCAGTGATAAGGAGGTTGAAATAGCATACAGTGATGTCGCCAAAAGACTTACCAAGTAAAATAGCACTTGCAGGAGAGATACCTTCAAATCTTCCCTTAAGAATATGCTTTTCCTAACAGACTACTCCTCCTCCTATGAAGTAGAAATGTATTTTGCATGAACCTGCAGTTACTCAAGATTAGGACCAAGGATAGATAGTACTTATCTTAAAATACACACTCCTAAGCAGTATTATTTTAAAATCCTTTCACCCTGCCTACCTCCCTGTCCATAGCCGCCTCTCCTTCAGTTTGGAGACACTCCGTCACAAGCTCTTCACACACGAGGCACTCTACAGCCCTCACCATTGTGTCCATGCTCTGTGTATAGGTGGTGCAGTGTTCAACTATTAAAATAGTAGCTGTAACATCAGTCAGCCCCAAACTGGTGTGCAATGCATAATGCAAGGAATATTTATGTATTTTTTTTAAAAAATTTTGTATTTCATAGGAGCATGTGAAAGGATTGCTACTGTATCAGAAATGCTGTGTTTCACTGTAGTCTGTCCTGGATATGTATTAAAAATATCACCAGAGAAGAGAGTCACTACAGATTGTTATTTTCTTTGTAGGAAGATTTTAAAATTTACCTAAAACCATGTATCCTGCATATGAATTATAACATCTGACACTGTGTGGAAGCTAAAAGTTAAGAGGCGGGAATGGTATTCTCAAGATCACAAGCATTTGATCTTTGTAGGAGAAACCCACGGGCATCTGATATCTGTCTGAATGTGTTGTTATGTATTTTGCCCAGTGCCATTCATTTGGAACATTATTGCCTGCCTTGTTTTAAGAAGCTCCATTGTAGGTAACAATAGACCTTGCTGTTTGTAGATCTTTTGAGCAACACTACATAAATTGGTATTTCATTGACTTAGTTATAGCAGTATGGTGATTAACAATGTAAAATTTAATTCTTAAAGAAATTAACCTAAGGAATGTAGGATGGGTTTGTCAGAGTATCATGTGAAATTTATTTCTAAAGCATATTTAATGTAGATAATCAAGAATGCATTATCCATCCTATATTAAAAATGGTAAAACATTCTCTTTTCACCTCCATTACTGTTGGACTTTGCATAGAGGATTGTTCACAGTGTTTGGACTAAATGGTAGCTGTTTTGCCTCACTTCAATCGCTGCACCCCTGGAGTTAAATTTTTCTGCAACAACACTGAGGAATAGTATTGTGTTTTTTGTTGTTGTTGTTTGTTTCACTTTTAAATTAAAGTCCTAAACTAGAAGTTATTTATGCTCTAACAAAGGAGAGTGAACTTGGTAAAAGTAGAACAAAAGTTTGCTCTGTATTGTTTTCTCCTCCCTCCCCCTCCGTCTCTTTCTTCTGCTTCAACAAAACAGACTTTCTAAGTACTACTCCAAAGACTATGGCTGTGACTATAATATGTTTTTGTTAATTTTTATACCTAACTTGTCTAAGAAGTGCTGTTTCTCATAAACTTTTTAAAAGTATATTGCTTTCAGATTTTGTACCATTGTCCCCTGTAGCATGCTAACATTTAGTAAGCACTGGCCTTATGTAAGCAGCTCAACTTTTATAAGCATACTACGTTTTTAAACCTGTCAGTAGTTAGCTTACTGCAGAAAGAGAAGAAAATCTCCACATTGTATCCGTTTGGCTCAGGGAGATTCCTCTGCCTTGCTTTTCTTAGTACTCTGTACTGCTTATAAAAGTTTGAGCTCCATCCTTTTGTAATTAAATATTGGATGAAGCTTTATCTGGTTCCTGAAAATCCATCAAGAAGTTACACTGTAGTAACTTCAGTGGGTGGAAGTGTCCCAGCGGCTTCCGCCACAGCCCAGCCCAGCATCTTCATCTGCTTTTGAAGTAGCAGCATGTTGGCCTGCAGGTGGCATTGAGCCTGGCCACGAAGCTCTCAGCTTGAGAAAGGTTTGACAGAGGGTGTGGATGCTGAGCCAAGGGGTGCGGAGGAGAGGCCCCTGGCAGAATGAGCTACTGCATTCCTCAAAGTGGAGTGATGAACAACATTTGGAAACTCAATTGTGAAATATGTTCCCTTTATATATTTACTTTCTTTGTTGTTTTTATCGGTTCATTGATTACACTTGGCTGTCTTACTAGGTGTCCAAGGAAGGCAAGTCTATGATTTTAACAAAAGCAAAATTAACTTTTTCTCTGAGGAAAAATGGATTTTATTTTACTGTTGAAGTTAGTCAAAGAAAGTTGACATGAGTAAATGGACAAAAGTTAGTAAAAAGAAAGGTCTTGCACTTCATATGTTGATAGAAAGATCATGGTTTAAAATCCTGAGAGTTTGGTCTATGAAGTTTCCATGGCAATTCATGTAGTATATATGTTGACATGTGGAAATCATCTTAATTTTATTTCTGCAACTAAGGAATCATTTCCCTCTTCCTTTAATTGAGTTTTGTTGCACTTCATTGAGAAGATTGGAGTCTGAGTAGAAAGTCTCGCTATTTTCCAAGTATACGGAAAAGTTTTCTTATTAACTGTTGGGAAAGTCTCTTTCAGTCAATATTATCAACTCCTTTATTTTATTTAGATGCAGATTTTCAGTAAGATGTCAAGTAAGATTTTATTTCTGGGTAATTTTGGCTTCACAACTTTAAATCCTAGAGCAACATATATACAATTAAGAGATTTCTGACATTTAGTCTTACAAGTAGATCAGTTCTAGAATTTAGGCATTTTTACTTCTGTAGAGTTTTGAATCTCTCCAGAATTGCATGTAGATAGCTTTTATTTCTGTGCATTTAAAAATCCCATTAAGGAAATATCTACAAAGTAAAAATGAGAGGAAATTATTTTTTCATGAACATTTTGATACACATTTTGTCAAGCTAATTGATTCACCAGTTTCTTACACTGATTATAATCAATGTTTAATTCAAAGAGAGGGAAGCATTCATCTTATTTGTAGGCTATTAAAAGTTCCACTCTTCACAAATTACCAAGGTTGGGGTAACCAAAATTATATTTTTGTCACAGACAAAAGCTTCAACTCCAAGCCATAATGTTGAACAGAATTGGAGTTTTTTCTTTAGAATTTCATGAAAAGGCAAATGAAAGCTTATCAGAATGCTTGTATTTTCTTTTCTCTCTGGAACATCAACACCAGTATATTGCTGGCAGCTATTATATTAAAAATAAAGTATATTTTCACTATCATAAAGAAGTCTCTTTTTTTTCTCATGAAAACAAGTGTCAACGTGGATAAAAATGCTTTGAAACTACTTGCATGCACTTCAACATGTGTAATAGAAGGAAAGGGAAATAGGTACAGAGAATAATGTGGCAAAATGACGTTCACTCTTAGATAAGACCAATATTTTTTAACTCATTAAAAACTTCCACCAAGAACTACAGCAGATGCCACATAAAAGCATGAGATGGAAGCCTTCTAATTAAAGTCAGGAGTGAAACAGTTTTCCTCCACCACGCTAGTTCCCAGCTGATTTTCACAGTCACTTTGTTTAGAGACATCCTATCCAGTGACACAGCAGAGGAGTGGTGAATGGGAGGGAGATGACAGAGCGACTACTTTCTGCAGGTGTGCGTGCGCGCGTGTGCAATCTAATAGAATCTGGTAGAAGCCTAAGAGATACTGAGAATATAACACTGAGGGACAAATGTCAGTGTAACTAACGTATACTAATACCAGCCACATTAAAAGTTAAAGAAACTGGTAACATGGATTCTTCTGAAGGAAATCTGAGAGAAAAATGGGAAATTGTCAACTTGTACCTTTTTGGGCTTTTAGAAATTTGTGAGTATATTACCTATTCTGAAAAAAGTGCTCTAAAAGGTTTGAAAGATCCTAAGAAGGTATTTAGGATCAAATCTGACCAAAATAAAATAGTTCCTTTATGGAGGAAGCTATTGAAAAGCCTAACAAATCTGCTCAAAAGATAGGCATACCAGTTACAGAGACTCAAAAGCATAAGCATTTTAATTGTCTCAATTTAAAAGTTTAGTGCACAGTATTTTTGTGTTGCTTTCTGTCACTGTGACAAACCACCTAGGGTGTGGTCCTGTTGCTTTGTGTCTACGACAGCCTTTGGGTGACAGCACCATGCAGAACGTGTGGCAGATGACACCTCATTTCATGGTGGCTGGGGAGCAAAGGGAGGCAGGGACTAGGGGGGGTCCCCATATGGAGTCCAAACCATTTACAATTTTCCAACAAAATCTCAAAAGACTTTTGAAAACTAGATAAACAGTTTCAAAAATTAACATGAAGAGTTCTGTCTAAATAGCCAAAATATATCTGGGAGTAGGTTAAAGGGACAACTGACACTAGGTCAAGGCATTGAAAACTTAATAATTGGTAGGCTATGGTAGGTCACAAGAATTCAATACTCTGAACACCAGAAAAAAAGTTGAAAACGAGTAAAATACCAAAATAATACTTCAAACACCAGTACATCATGCAAGCAACAAAGACTACATAGATTAGAATTTCAACTGAGGTGAACTGGTGGTTGGTTGGTTTGTCCCCTGTGCATATTTGTTGAGTTTGGCCCATGTAGGAGGGGCTCCATGGAGAAAAGGAAATCATAAGGCTTTTGGTCATAGAGGCACATTGGAAAGCTGAGACCACATATATGACTGGCTCTCTTCCAGGACAATTGGCTGAACTTTAGAGCTGTGCATGACATGCTAGAAAGTAAGCCTAGGGTTTCTGAAAGGCAAAGTAAACTCCCCCTAACCTCACAATACTGACAAGTTTTTATTAAAGGGAAGGGAGCACATAGCATTTTAGTGATTGCCTAGTACTAGGTTTTAGAGTGGGAATTGACTGCCAAAAGGCTAGAGGGATCTTCTTGGGGTGATAGGATCGTTCTGAAAATGGATTGTAGGTAAGGGTCTTAGCATCCAGAGTATCTGAAGAATCCTTACACCTCAGTAGGAAAAGACACCCCAATTAAAAGATGGACAGAATCTAAACTCCAAAGAAGATGTACAAATGCCCAATAAACACATTGATTTAGTCCATTGAATAAAATACTCTTAGCTGGGTATTTTACTGAGAAAAACTTTAGTATACAGTTTCAGAGGGCCAAGGGCACGACACTGCCATCTGTTTGGCTCAGGGGAGGCCCTTGTGGCAGATCAGGTCACAGTGGCCAGAGTGGTTGTGGAAGACATCATATGGTGACACAGCAGGAGGGGCCTATCTAACTTCTGTAACAACCTTGCTGGAGCAAACGCGGGTCCCTGAGAACTATGTTAATCCCCTCAGGGGATGCACCCTCTGTGACTGAACTGGGGCCCACTGCTTACAGATTTTACTGCCTTCTGACATGGCCCCCACCAAGGACCGAACTCAACACACGAGAACTCTTGGAGAACATACTGGAGCTGTACCCACACCACAGTACACAGGAAAAGATTTAACATTAATCTTCAAGGAAATGTGAATCAAAACCACAGTGAGATGTCACTTCACCCCACTAGGATGGCAGTGGTCTTTTTTTTTTTGTACTGGGGATCGAACTCATCCTTGTGCTTGCGAGTCAGGCGGTGAAACCACTGAGCGAAATCCCTGGCCCAGCAGTGGTCTTTTTTGACAGTACTGGTGATTGAACCACACCCCTTGCTAGGATGGCTATAAACAAGAAGGTTGGCAATTGGCAAGATGTGGAGAAATTAGAAATCCATACGTCGCTTGTAACGATGCACAGCCATTTGAGAAAAGTTGGGCTGTTCCTCAGACACTTAAAACATAGAGCTGCCTACCATAGGAAACAGCACCTGCACTCCCAGGTTTGTACACTGGAATGGTGAATCATGTACATCTTTCATAGTTGGATGCTCACAGCAGCAGCATTCACAATAGCCAAACAATTGAAACAACCAAAATGGCCATCTGATGGTTAAACAAAAGTGGTATATCTACATAGTAAACACTATTGAACCATAAAATGTAGAAATGCTGATGAATGCTACAACATGTAAGGGCCCGTGAAGATTCTCAGAGAAGCCAGACATAGAGGGTCACATACTCTGATTCCATTTATATAAAGTGTCCAGAAATCTTTATAGACATGATTTTTTTTTTTTTTTTTTTTTTTTTTTTTTTTTTTGTACTGGAGATCAAACTTGGGCCCTTGCACTTGCGAGGAAGGTGGTGGAACCACTGAGCCAAATCCCCAGCCTGGGAAAATCTTTATAGAGACAACGGATTAATGGTTGCTAGTGGGTAGAGGGAGAGAAAGGAAGTGATTGCTAATGGGTGTTGTGTTTATTATTGTATGATTAAAAAATACCGCAAGGAGGCAATTTACCTTGCTAAAGTTTTAAATCATGTATTGACATGCTGGTTGGCAGTATTTGGATTTTGTGTTTGAAATGAGTTCAGAATTCCTCTAAAATATATTCTTGAAAAAAGTGAGTTGTGCTGGTAGATCAATGTATAAATTTACTAAAATTTTCATTTTTCACCTATAATTTATAATACA